AATCTAAGTACAATATTTTTGCAGGGGTTTTCTCAATTCATAAAAAGCACTAGGGAAGTGACATACACCTAGGCGAGTATCTAAATTCTTTTGAAATGATTTTGTTTCTTTTTACGCACAATTGTGATGTTCGGGCTAGCTTACGCCCTCAACTAATTCCACGGCGGGGTCTAAAATTTAGGACAAACTTGTTATATTTTGGATCATTATATAACCTTTGCACATAGTTACTCACTCTATACCTCTCGGTAGTTTGAGTGACTTTGCCCTAATTGACTTTCTCAAGCCCAATTGGGTGTTCAAACAATGCAAGCAAAATTGGCTCAAGGCTGGTATTAATATCTCTAGGTTTAACCCTTTAATTGGGGCTATCAATATCTTGAATGCACCCCAATTCCATGTTAGCCTTAATTTTCTAGACTTAGTCTTTTTTTCTCAAGAAGACTCTAAGCCATAAAGACACCAATTAGTGTTTGCAACCACCAATTCAACAATTAAAGAAAAGCTAAATATCATTAACCTATAAACAATTAATCCCTAAAATTGAATACCTATTAAATACCCATACTAGGGTTGGGTCACAACCCTAGCTAATGGGTTTAGCTACTCATAATCAAGGTAGAAATCAAAGATGAAGATGAAATATAAGCCATAAAAGTTAATTACAAGAATAAAATCTAAGATTAATAGCTAAAGATGCTCTAAAATTACTCTAAGTAGTAAAATACGGCTGTTCACAAGCTCCTCAAAACAAAAGATGACCTAAAAATGTGAAAAACAACTACTTATACACAACTTAAAATTTTTGGACAAAAATACCCCTACGGAGGTTCTGCTGTCAGCGAAATAATAAGCGCCTCAGCGTATGGACTTCCGCGGCTGCACAAAACAAGCGCGGACCGCGGTTCTTCACATTAGTGCTTGGGTTTGAACTTAATCTCGCGGACAGCGTAAAAGATACCGGCTCAGCGTTAGAATTAACCGCGGCCGCACAATTTGGACGCGGACCGCGCTCCTCAGTTTGGCTCATTTTTGCTGGGTCTCTGAACCTTGATCGCCGCTCTCAGCGGAATTTGCACCGCGGCTCTGTCAGGTATTCCGCGGCCGCACTTGTTCATCGCACCCAGCAGTCTCTGTTGCTCTCAAAACACCCTATCTTAACCTCAATTTCGCGGACCGCGTAATTGAGGCCGCTTGAGCGGTGGATCTTCCGCGGCCGCCCTTTTCCTTCGCGGTCTGCGCTTTTATCTCAACTTGAACTTGTGCAATTTTACTCCTTCTTGAGTTGATTATGGCTTTCTTGCCTCATTTTGATCAAACCCTGTAGACAAGCACAACAAATCAATTTTCGGGAATACTTTTACACATTTTTGATCCAAAACCTAAGCAAAAGAGAGCATCAGATAGGCTAAAATCATTTCACACATACATCGCAATTCAAACCCAACAAGCACAACCCGAATATGACTGAATATGAAAAGCGGAACACATGAGAGTACCGTCAAACAAGCCAAATAGTCACAACTCCCCACTGATACCATACTGCGGATCCAATCCTCAAGGAAGAAGCAAGACACACGCAACAACCACACCAAATCTTACCTTAATATGACCTCACCACAATGCATAGCCCGAAACTCACACACCCATTCACAAGGAACACTAGGTCTCTATCCTCAATTCAGAATCACGAGTAAGGTAAGCGTCTCAGCAACTAAACCACTCTACTAACTCAACCTCGTAGAACTAAAATCACAACACATAATAACTTCCCATACCTGTAGAGCACCCAAACCACAAGTCTGGCCAAACCATCCAGAGATCACATCAAATCCTACCATATTAACTAACAGAAAGTCCACCCAAGCCTCATGACCCTCAATAGCAACCAAACAAGGACGATAGACGCGGACTATAACAATAGAATTGTCAAACTAGCGTGAACACTTGAACATAGTATAAAAATTACAAAACACAACCATATCTGAAGCAAGGTAGGATGAATCTTACCAATAAATGGGACCGGATCGAAGTAAAACAAATGCATCTCTATACTCATCTGAAACCATACCTGTAAGGACATCATCTGGTGAATCGACCTCTGCCCAACCAGAAAGAGTGTAACAATGGGCTAGGCCTCCCCCTCTAGGGCGGCCTCTATCCGCCTGACCTCCACCCTTAGCTAGCGGTGTAGGTATAGCAGCATCTGGAGTAGAACTCATAGCCTGAATACCCTGCTGTGAGACATCTATCCGGAGTGTAGCACAATCTCTCACCATGTGGCTGGTATCTCCACACTCAAAGCAACCTCTACGCTGACGTGGCTGTGGAAGCTGACCGATACGGGTACTTTAGGACCTATGGATATCTGAAATACTGCGTGAAGCCTGAAGTACAAACTGAACTAGCTAACCCACAAAACCTCTACCATGATGTACCTTGCCTCCAAAATAGGGATTAGTAGATCCTCCCGGTCCACGAGGCCTCTTAGCCTCCCGCCCCCTCTCTCCTGGCCCCGCATGCCCGATAAACTACGAGCAATCTCTACTACCTGCTAAAGTGGAACAACCATATCTAACTTCTGAGCCATACTGATTCCAATACCATAACTGAGCCCCTCAATGAACCTGCAGACTCACTCTCTAAATATAAAAACCAAAGCAGGTGCATGCCTGGACAAATCATAGAATCTAACAGCATACTTCGACACTAAAATAGTACTCTGGCGCAGTTGCTCGAACTCCGTGCGCCATTCACCCTGAAGGGTCTGGGGAACAAACTCTCTCAAGAACATCTCTGAAAACTAAGTCCATAAAAGTTAAGCTGCATCGTCTGGGCTACCCTCCTCGTAAGCCCACTACCGCTGATACGCTGCTCTCGATAGCTGGAAAGTAGTAAAAGGAAACCCAATCGTCTCCATAATACCTATGGTGCAGAGAATACGATGACACGTCTCTAGAAAACCGTGTGCATCCTCTGAAGCTAAGCCACTGAAAGTAGGTGGACGGTACTTCTTGAATATCTCAAGTCTCAGTTTCTCCTCCTCAAATGCCCCTGGTCTAACCTCAGGCTAAACCGGAATAAAAGGCTATGCTGGCATGACACCCAAAAGCTGACCAATGTGGACTCGCTGCTTCGGAGTACGGGCGGCGATAGTCTAAGCTCCTCCCCGGGTCGTGAAGTAGTTGGTGCAACCAGAATCAATCCGCCTGAGCCAATGTACCAAACATGCTCAAGAACTATGCTGAAGTCTCCTAATGCCCTGGGTAGCAACAGGCGCCTTCGGTTCGTGTCCCCCAATCGGAGCAACTGGTGGCTCCTCAGCTGCTACTCTGGTTGGTGCTCGAGCTATAGCACATGCTCCTCCTCGGCCTCTACCCTGACCCCTAGCCACACCGGTTCTGGGGGAAGCATCATCATTAGCTACAGCTCGTGCTCTTATCATCTATGAGGGAATAGAATAGCAAAAGCCCAAACTCTAAAATCAATAAACTCGCACGATAGGAATGAAAGAAGTGAAATTTTCCTAATAGTTCTATAGCCTCTCGAAGATAAGTATTGAAATCTCCGTACCGATCCGCGAGACTCTACTAAACTCGCTTATGACTCGTAGCACCTATAAACCTAGATCTCTGATACCAACTTGTCACGACCCAAAATCCCTTCTCAAGAGTCGTGATGGCAACCTAGTCCCTAGGAATAGATAATCCTAACACATAGAGAGTTATTTAACAGATTTATACGAATTAACCATTTAACATGAACCAGAAATTTCTATACAAAGTCAACAACCATCAATGGATGTACAATATCCCAAAACTGATAGTACAAATCATAAGCTCTATTGAGTTCGCTAGATAATCTCTAGGTACAACTGTTCCACAATAGAAATAAATAGTACAAAGTAAAAATTTAGAAGGTGACTCCGAGGCCTTTGTACCGACAGCAGGTACCGCCGCAACTCACAATAAGCTAACTAATGACCAGCGCGCTCCAAAGTAGTTGGATCTACACAAAAATGTGTAGAAAGCATAGCATGAGTACACCACAGCGGTAGCCAGTAAGTATCAAGACTAATCTCGGTGGAGTAGTGACGAGGAACAGTCAAGACACCTACTAGACATAATAACCTGTACAAGTACGAATATGAAACTAATAAGGAACAATATCAATATAAAGCTAAGTATGGTAAGAATAACAAAACAATACTTGCAATAGAAAACTAAAAGCAACAATTAGCAACCAGCCAGGTAATAACGTCGTAAAGTAAGCAGAATACAGTTAGTCTATTGAAACCAAGTAAGGGAAAATATGTAACAACCCAATAGAACAACTGCTCTCACACGAGGTTTACACAAGAATTTCCCCGAGGTACCATACCTCATAATCACAATCACCGGTCCCAAATAAAGAACCATAATCACTTGGCATCTTGTGCCCACATTACAAATCACATCCGCATGGACAACTCACGTGCTGCATGGAAAACTCACGTGGCAATACCATTAATACCTCATATCTGCACGGACAACTCACATGCTAAGAGAGTGAAAATATCTCATATCCGCATGGACAACTCGCGTGCTAGCAGTAACAATACCTCATAATCGCATGGACAACTCACGTGCCAATAGTAGAAATATCTCATATCTACATGGAAAACTCACGCGCCAAAAGTACAATTCACGCATTGAAGGCAGGTATACAAGAATGCATGTAAATGATCAATAAACATCAGGGTTCATCTTCTTAGACTAATATGAGTGAGTAATTACGGTGTATGCTTGTGCAAGTGTTCTATCACAACTCGAGTCAACAAGTAAGATCAGAGACGACGAATGTCACATAGGAAACAACACAACAAAACCGTAATATGTCACGCCCCAAACCTGGGGAGGAGTGGCTGGCACCCTGTGCCGCACTGGCCCGAGCGAACCACTCTGCAACCTTTTTTTTCTTTGTAACTATCATGGGCCAACATGGCCACAACTCGTAATGTATAACTATAAGTTGGAAAACGCTATATTACTGAACCATTTTTCTTAAAACGTGAATACATATCGGCCGTCAAGGCCTCTGACATACTATACAAAATAAACCTCTGGCTACAAAGCCTCTAAGATTATTTGACATCAAATGGGATAGGGTACCGACCTACCAATAATCCTGTAGAAAACTTTTGACACAATGACTCATAGACTTCGCTGCACTCCGGATGAGGTGGAGTCTTACCGATCCTTCGCTGAAGCCAATCTCGTCTATTATGAGGGCTCGTCAAACTGATTATCTATACCTGCAGGCATGATGCAGCGTCCCCAACAAAAGGACGTCAGTACGAATAATGTACTGAGTATGTAAGGCATGTAAATCAGTATATAAAGAACATGGAAGAAACATGGAGTAAAGAACTCAACCTGTAAGTCTAGATAACTCTGTAAATCATGAAATATTTATAGTGTCATGCATATGCGTATGAATGCCATGTAATGCGTAGGTCTATACATACACATCATCAAGCCTTTGAGGGCAGCCCATCATATCATTTCAGCCACCGTGGGCAACATCATCATCGTATACCAGCTGATTAGGTGGTGATGCGTATATAACGTCGTAACCTTTTCCCATATCCCATATACATATATATATACATACTAGTCTCTCCGCACGTGCGTTGCACGTGTACACTAAATTATATATTATATAATTTTTGTAATAATATAAATATTATAAAATAATTATCTGAATAAATCAATACATATAAATAATAAAATATAAAGTTTTGCGAATAATCAGGCAATTCGTTAGTATGGTGAATTATTTGTCCAGGTCAAGAAAGATTAGATATAGTCTCAATATAGGGAGATGAATAATCAAATTTTAATTAAATAATATCATAAACACCAAGAATATTTAACTTATCAAAATGTTGAAAGTAGTCGGTCATATTCTGAAAGGTGTATGGATCAATAGTGTAAGAACATTTCTTTAAGCGATGGCTAAAATATGAAATTAACTTCATAGAAAATAGGTGAATACTCTTATATTAGATACAGTCCGTCCATTTTAATTTGTTAGCTAGTATTAATTTGACTTGACATAAAGTTTAATAAAGAAATGAAGACTTCTGAAACTTATGATCTTAAATATGCCCTAATATTTGTGTGTCTATCAAACTTTTGAAAGTTGTGGTCTTAAAAGAGTTATAGCATTTGTCTGGTTATAATAACTGTTCGTAAGAAAATATAGGAATGTGCCGATCATTTTTGAAACCGACTCATAAGAAAATGTGTTAATATTTTTTAAACGAAGGGAGTAGTAGTTATCCGTTAATGAACAAACCATCTATTACGGGAATTCTTTTGATAAATCTTGTGATATGTACTAAAGAAATAATTAAAAAGAAAGGGCATATTAATAATAATCAGACAAATATTAACTTTGTGCAATACAAAAGATATGGACGGAGAAAGTTTTTTCCCACTCACATGTTAACTTTAAAACTTGCTAAATCTACCATAAAAAGTTTGTCCTTAACCAATGGCTCCAATATCTAAAAATAAATAATAAAATTGGTAATTCCATAGTAAGTTCATGGTCACAAAGAGTGAGATGAAAACAGGCTAGTTGCACGTCCGATCCACATTAATTAAAATTTACAACACTCCAAAGTAAACAATCGGTGTAACCCTATATGTAACTACTGCAATTTCAAAGAGCGTCTTAACAAAACTAAGAACAATAATTTCCAATCCGATGCGTACATTGTTTATCATATAATAGGAATAATATAGGAAAAAAAGGATGAAACACTGATTTAATTTTTCTATATTAATTGACTACACAATTAAGGAAATAAAGTTAAGGAACTTGTATTTATCATACCTGCTAATTAGTTTATTGCAAATTTTGATAATTCTCTTTCTTTGTGCCACTGCGGGTGGCTATGAAACCAAGCTCTAGAATATGTTTGTCCCAACCTCCCTTATTCTCTTTTGTTTCAAATTTTGCTTCATGTCCCTTCAAAAATAGCAAGGGTAAATAGGATATATTCTTAACATTACTTACTTATCTGAAGGGTAACATCCCTTCACATAAATTTTCATTTTTTTTTTATTTAATATTTCGTATTTGTAGGATAGTTAGATTTTAGGAGGAAATTTAAGTAGTTTAATTTTTTAGTGTAAGGGTTTTCACTTTTATAATTATTAGTATCTTAGGATGTGCTTTTTATGTGAATGCAAGTCTTGTAATAACGATATTTTAAAATATTACATGAAGGAATAAACTAAGAGTTTGTATGAATATCTATACAAATCGTCGTATGGTGAGTTGTTTGTCGATATCAAATAATTTTTCAAACACCAATCGTAAAAATCACATTGGACTAATGGTTATACTTATAAAATATTTGTTTGATATATATATATATATATATATATATATATGTATATATAGTCATTTATTTTCTTTGGTTGGCTTAAATATTTTTTGAAAAATATTTTCCTTATGAATTTATTTTCCTACGATTGGAGGATATTATTTTCGTGATTGAGTTCTTGAAATTTTTAAAATTAGAAATGATAATCATCAAAAGATATGATTGAATATAATTAAATTAACTAAATAAATGCATAAGAACTGTTAGTTTGTTGGGTTTTTAAGGTATTTAATTAATATATTAAATACTTAAAAGAGGGTGAATGGGAAATGGAGGGAAATGAAATTTTTGAGTGAAATTTTAAGTTCCCCCTCCCTTGGCAAATGGGCATTGTCCCATATTGGAAGAGGAAGAGGTTTTTTATGGGTATATAAGCAATTGCTCTTCTTCTAGCTCTTAAAGAGTTGAGAAGAAGGCAAGCCTCGCGCCGTCGTCGTCGTCGCTCGCTCGGCTCGGCTTCGGATTCGGATTTGGTCAAATGATCGATTGATTGATTAACTTTTTGGACCAAATTTATTTGTTAATAGTAAAATATTAACAGAATTAAATATTTATTTTAATAACAAAATATTAATATTAAATCCGTTTTTCTGTTTTGGTAACAGAAAAGTAACTACCCTCTTCAATTTTCCCTCTTTATTTTCCCTCTTTATTATTGAGTAAATGGCCATTTATGTAATGGCATTTATGTTGTGGGCGTTTTGCATAAACAGCCATTCTGAAGAGACCCAACTTTGGCTATAAATACAACACTATTCTGCTCAGAATTTTAACTACAATTTTTTGAGTTTTCTCTCCTTCTTCTGCTATACTTTTAGCATCTAAAACAAAGCAAAAAGTAAGTGTGATTTGCTACCGAACTTTGTGTTCGCTGAAACACTGGGGTTTGAAGTACCACTACACCAGTGTGTAATTCGTTCTATCCTGGGAGGAAATAATCCATAACCTTGGGTACTAGGAGGGGATTAAATTCCTTAAGGAAACACTGTGAATTCAGTGGGCTCGAATTGGTTTATGTCATTTCTGTTTATATTCATTACTGTTTATATTCATTTATATTTCCAGAATTTATTTTACAAATACAGTGTAATAACAAGCTTAAGGAATTTAATAATTTATTTTCTGTATTTGTACTTACTGTTTCTGAAAGAGTAAAACCTTTGTGGTTTTGTACTCTATTAAAATCTACGTGATTTTAACGTTTGTGTCATTCTTTTACAGAAATGACTAATGAGAATGAGAACCAAGCTGTTCCAATGGTGACTGCCAATGCCTCAACAAGTCGAACGACACCGGCAGCATTGGCACCGGCGGAGAAACCCGGAAAATTTTCCGGGATTGATTTCAAGCGCTGGCAGCAAAAGATGTTCTTCTATTTGACTACTCTAAGTCTCCAGAAGTTCATCAAGGAAGATGTTCCTGTGCTGTCCGATGAAACTCCAGAAACTGAACGCTTTCTCGTAATTGAGGCATGGAAGCATTCAGATTTTTTGTGCAAGAATTATATTCTAAGCGGGCTGGAGGATGCTTTGTATAACGTCTACAGTGGCGTGAACGTCAAAGGAACTGTGGACTGCGCTTGAAAAGAAATACAAAACCGAAGATGCCGGGTTGAAAAAGTTTGTTGCTGCAAAGTTTTGGACTACAAAATGGTAGATAGCAAGTCTGTTATTACCCAAGTCCAGGAATTGCAAGTGATTATTCACGATCTCCTTGCTGAAGGTATAACTCAATTTAATATTGATGTTGAAAGTAGTAATCTTAGTATTTTTTCTAATAGAAATTTCATTGAAGGTCTTGTTATCAATGAAGCATTTCAAGTAGCAGCGATGATTGAGAAGTTGCCTCCTTTGTGGAAGGACTTCAAAAACTACTTGAAACACAAACGCAAGGAGATGTCCCTTGAAGATCTCATTGTTCGGTTGAGAATCGAAGAGGACAACAAAGCTGCTGAAAAGAGAGGCCGTGGAAACTCAACAATAATGGGAGCAAATATTGTTGAAGAGAATAAAAAGAGGAAGAAGGCTTCTGGACCGAAATACAACCCAAGCAAGAAGCGGTTCAGTGGAAACTGCTACAACTGTGGAAAAACTGGACACAAATCTACGGAGTGTCGTGCTCCAAAGAAAGACAAGAAGAAGGGTCAAGCAAACATGGTTGAAAAGCATGATGATGTTGATGATTTATGTGCCATGCTTTCCGAATGCAACTTGGTGGGCAATCCTAAAGAGTGGTGGATTGATTCTGGAGCCACTCGCCATGTTTGTGCTGTTAGAGAAGCTTTTGCTTCTTATGCTCCTGTTGGACCCGATGAGACGATTTCTATGGGAAATGCTTCAAAGGCGAAGATTGAAGGATGTGGGAAGATATTTCTCAAAATGACTTCCGGCAAAGTGGTGACTTTGAACAACGTCCTTCATGTTCCCGAGATTAGGAAGAATTTAGTCTCTACTGGACTTCTTGTTAAGAATGGTTTTAAATGTGTTTTTGTTTCCGATAAGGTTGTAATAAGTAAGAATGAAATGTTTGTAGGAAAAGGTTACCTCACTGAGGGCCTTTTCAAGCTGAATGTAATGGTTGTTGAAAATAATAATAAAATTTCAGCTTCGTCTTACTTACTTGAGTCAAATGAATTATGGCATATACGTTTGGGTCATGTCAATTATAAAACCTTACGGAAAATGATTAATTTGGAAGTATTGCCCAAGTTTGAATGTGACAAATCAAAATGTCAAGTATGTGTGGAATCTAAGTATGTTAAACATCCTTATAAGTCGGTTGAAAGGAATTCAAATCCTTTAGACTTAATTCACACAGATATTTGTGACATGAAGTCAATACCATCTCGCGGTGGAAAAAAGTATTTCATAACTTTTATTGACGATAGTACTCGATATTGCTATGTTTACTTACTTAATAGTAAAGATGAAGCAATAGACGCATTCAAGCAATACAAAAATGAAGTTGAAACGCAACTTAATAAGAAAATCAAAATGATAAGAAGTGATAGGGGTGGTGAATATGAATCTCCTTTTGAACAAATATGTTTAGAATATGGAATTATTCATCAAACAACGGCCCCTTACACGCCCCAATCCAATGGGATTGCAGAAAGAAAGAATCGTTCATTAAAGGAGATGATGAACGCATTATTGATAAGTTCTGGTTTGCCACAGAACTTGTGGGGGGAAGCCATTCTTACGGCTAGCCGAATACTAAATCGAGTACCCCATAGCAAAACACAATCCATTCCATATGAAAAATGGAAAGGAAGGAAGCCCAACTTGAATTATTTTAAAGTGTGGGGGTGTTTGGCAAAAGTGCAAGTTCCTAAACCCAAAAGGGTAAAAATAGGACCGAAAACCGTTGATTGTGTTTTCATAGGATATGCGACTAATAGTAAAGCATATCGATTTCTGGTTCATAAATCAGAAAATCCCGACATTCATAATAATACGGTTATAGAATCAGATAATGCTGAGTTCTTTGAAAATATATATCCGTATAAAAAGGAATGTGAGTCGATTGGTGAAGGATCTAAACGACCCCGGGAAGAAACAAAAGAAAGTACACTTAACCAAGAGGATCCAAGACGTAGTAAACGTCAAAGAACGTCTACTTCATTTGGACCAGATTTTGTGACTTTCTTATTGGAAAATGAGCCTCAAACATTTAAAGAAGCTATGTCTTCTTCGGAATCATTGTTATGGAAAGAGGCGGTCAATAGTGAAATAGAATCCATACTGAACAACCATACATGGGAATTGGTTGATCTTCCTCCTGGAAATAAACCGTTGGGTTCTAAATGGATCTTTAAGAGGAAAATGAAAGATGATGGCACTATTGACAAGTATAAGGCAAGACTTGTGGTCAAAGGGTATAGACAACGAGAAGGTCTTGACTATTTTGATACATACTCTCCAGTTACAAGAATTACATCCATACGAACGTTAGTAGCGTTAGCTGCAGTTTATGGTCTTGAAATTCATCAAATGGATGTTAAGACGGCCTTCTTAAATGGAGAGTTGGAGGAAGAAATTTACATGGAACAACCTGAAGGGTTTGTGGTTCCAGGTAAAGAAAAGAAGGTCTGTAGACTTGTTAAGTCCCTTTACGGATTAAAACAAGCACCCAAACAATGGCATGCTAAATTTGACCAAACAATGTTGTCAAATGGATTTAAGATAAATGAATGTGATAAATGTGTGTACATTAAAAATGTTCCAAATCACATAGTCATTGTTTGCTTATATGTGGATGATATGCTCATAATGAGTAATGACATTGCCAACATAAATGCTACTAAGCGTATGCTAACTAGCAAGTTTGATATGAAAGACTTGGGAGTTGCTGATTTAATTCTGGGAATTAAGATCCATAAGACTTCTCAAGGTCTAGCATTGTCACAATCTCATTATATTAAGACAGTACTTGAAAAATTCAAGCACTTGGGCTTTAAAGTTGCAAAGACTCCAATTGATGTGAATCTTGCATTAGCAAAGAACAAAGGCCAGAGCATATCACAATTGGATTATGCTCGTGTGTTGGGTTGCTTAATGTACATCATGAATTGTACACGACCAGATATAGCTTGTGCTATAAGTAAATTGAGTCGATATACGAGCAATCCAGGCCAATCTCATTGGATGGCCATGAAACGAGTTTTGGGGTATTTAGTACATACCCAGGACTTTGCTTTGCACTACAATAAATATCCTGCGGTCATTGAGGGATACTGTGATGCAAATTGGATCACCGGATCAACTGATTCCAAGTCCACAAGTGGATATGTATTCACTATTGGTGGAGGAGCGGTATCTTGGAAGTCATCCAAACAAACTTGTATTGCCCGCTCTACAATGGAGGCTGAGTTCATAGCCTTGGATAAAGCCGGTGAAGAAGCTGAATGGCTCCGGAATTTCTTGGAAGATATTCCATTTTGGCCCAAACCGTTGGCACCAATATGCATACATTGTGATAGTCAAGCGGCAATTGGAAGGGCTGGGAGCGTTATGTATAACGGTAAGTCTCGCCATATACGACGAAGACATAAAACCGTTAGACAATTACTCTCTAGAGGAATTATCACGATTGACTATGTAAAGTCAAGTGATAATGTGTCGGATCCACTTACAAAAGGCCTAACTAGAGAGGTAGTTGAGAAGTCATCAAGGGGAATGGGACTGTGGCCGAGAACAAGTCATAGTGGCGGTAACTCTACCTAGAAGACTGGAGATCCCAAGATCTAGGTTCAAGGAGATCAAACAAAGTCATTTATGACGGTTCAACATTGTCAACTAAACTTTTGGTCCATTCTCGTGATGAGACAATGTTCAGTACCAAGGATAAAGCATTAAGGCTTTTTAATGATTTCTAAATTTGATACGGGGTATATCAAATAGTGTATCTACGGGATGACACGTTTAGGAATCACCTATGTAAGTGTGAAGTGTTAGCCGCTTCAAGGAGAACATTGTAAGGCCAGTTCTCTACGCACTTATGAAACCAGGCGGTGTTCATGGCTGAAACGAACACAACAATGAGAACCAAAGACGGTTAAGGGTTGGTTGTGTGACTTGTGGTTGTCTAGGTATACACTAAAGTTCGACGGTTCAAAGATATCAAATCTACCGATTGATCGAGTATATCCGACATAAGTTCACTACGGAAAGTTCAAAGGGAAACCTACTTATCCAGATGCAATTAATCCTTACTTGCGAATCACACAGTTTTTCATGCATACTTCCGTGATATAGCCATTCCCCATTCATGTGGGGGATTGTTGGGTTTTGGATGTATTTAATTAATATATTAAATACTTAAAAGAGGGTGAATGGGAAATGGAGGGAAATAAAATTTTTGAGTGAAATTTTAAGTTCCCCCCCTTGGCAAATGGGCATTGTCCCATATTGGAAGAGGAAGAGGTTTTTTATGGGTATATAAGCAATTGCTCTTCTTCTAGCTCTTAAAGAGTTGAGAAGAAGGCAAGCCTCGCGCCGTCGTCGTCGTCGCTCGCTCGGCTCGGCTTCGGCTTCGGCTTCGGCTTCGGCTACGGCTACGGCTTAGGCTTCGGCTTCGGCTTTGGCTTCGGCTTCGGATTCGGCTTCGGCTTCGGCTTCGGCTTCGGCTTCGGCTTCGGCTTCGGCTTCGGCTTCGGCTTCGGCTTCGGCTTCGGCTTCGGCTTCGGCTTCGGCTTCGGCTTCGGCTTCGGCTTCGGCTTCGGCTACGGCTTCGGCTTCGGCTTCGGCTTCGGCTTCGGATTCGGATTCGGATTCGGATTCGGATTCGGATTCGGATTTGGATTTGGTCAAATGATCGATTGATTGATTAACTTTTTGGACCAAATTTATTTGTTAATAGTAAAATATTAACAGAAATGTTATTAAATATTTGTTTTAATAACAAAATATTAATATTAAATATTAATATTAAATCCAATCCGTTTTTCTGTTTTGGTAACAGAAAAGTAACTACCCTCTTCAATTTTCCCTCTTTATTTTCCCTCTTTATTATTGAGTAAATGGCCATTTATGTAATGGCATTTATGTTGTGGGCGTTTTGCATAAACAGCCATTCTGAAGAGACCCAACTTTGGCTATAAATACAACACTATTCTGCTCAGAATTTTAACTACAATTTTCTGAGTTTCCTCTCCTTCTTCTGCATACTTTTAGCATCAAAACAAAGCAAAAAGTAAGTGTGATTTGCTACCGAACTTTGTGTTCGCTGAAACACTGGGGTTTGAAGTACCACTACACCAGTGTGTAATTCGTTCTATCCTGGGAGGAAATAATCCATAACCTTGGGTACTAGGAGGGGATTAAATTCCTTAAGGAAACACTGTGAATTCAGTGGGCTCGAATTGGTTTATGTCATTTTTGTTTATATTCATTACTGTTTATATTCATTTATATTTCCAGAATTTATTTTACAAATACAGTGTAATAACAGTTTTCACCATATCAATAGAATAGAATAAAATTGGAAAAAAGAGCAAGAGATTAGTGAAATACAAAGGATTCTTTTAAAGGACGACAAAAGAAAAAGGGAATCAAATGCAATAACAATTTCGTTGGTTCTGAAACCAAACACCACAAAATATAGTTTTGGAATATAATTAATCTTTGTTTGTAACTTGGAACTAAAATTAACTTAATAGCACTACAATTGAAAAAGAACAGAATAGGAAAAGAGAGCAAAGGAAATTAATTGAAATAAATATGATGACAAAAGAAAAAAAGAACAAATCTGATACCAATTTAGTTGGTTTTGAAACCAAACACCGAAAATATAGTTTCGAAATTGATCTTTATTTGAAACATGAAACCGAAAGAAAATGATTCATTACACGCATAAACCTAAGAAACTTAATAGCACTGTAAAATCAACATTAGCAGATAGTCAAGAATAAGATATTGATAAGACTTTGTATTTATATATTATAAAAGATACCATATAAATTTCTATCAAAGTATCTATATAGGTGCAGTTTACTAAAATCTACCTTAAATCATCCTTGCCATTTTCGTAAGTATATTTACTTCTTTGCTACCTTGGCTACCTTCTTGCACCTATGATCTTGTTCTATATGAAGCTTTAACTTAGTTATCCAACATCAAGTATTCCGTAAAAAAAAAGGCATTCAGATGATACATTCCCGCGGTCCTTAAGAGGTGTAATTAAGATTGCAATAATGAACTCACTTTGAGTTTCTTAAAAACGTAATATTGGGATTTTCTTAATGCAGATTAATGTTAAAAGGGTGGCTTTCTTCACAATTCAATGGCTGACACAAACTTATATATAAGAATGTAGCTTTTCATTACAAGCCACCAATAACTAATTTTAGAACTCAAACGATTAGTTGCAAAATTGGAGGGTCACAACCTTTCGACAAAGACAAATTCAATTTAACTATTAACATCATTTAAATATTATTATTAAATAATAGTAGTAGTTATTTAAAAGGATATTTTGGTAATTCAACTTTTAACTTTTTGAGGTTCCCACTTTTATAATAATATAGATATACGCGTATATAACTCCGTCTGAGTCATGAGTAAATGCACATGTAAATGAATGTAATGCATGAGAAGTACGTTAATAAAACTTCTCGGAACGTCATAAGACCATTTTACTTCTGATTAATATCTTGAAATCAACTTACATATTTTCTGAGACCCATAAACATAAGATGTAATAATATGTCACATGGAGAATCAAGAACACAGAGACCCCTAGTATCTCTATGAATAGAGTCGTTTATGAAAATTTTGCGTTCGCTCGTTTCTTCTGTATAACTTTGATCATGCCGAAAAGAAAAAAGGGATAGCCTTAACATACCTGCAACACAACCATTGGTTGTGAGAGAAATGTACAGCCCCTCATTCTCTTCACATTCTCTTCAAGGCTGTAACGATGTCTTTGATCAGCAAGCATCCAGCTAGGCATATATGCTAGACGCGTTAAAATCACTTCAGGGTTGCAACTGCAGAATCCTACCCACTAGAATAACCTCCAAAGATTCTGATATGAAACACACAGAACATGTATACAAGAAATTGGATGTTTACTTCCCAAAACACCGTCTAAAAAAACATTCAGAAATCACTTTGTGATAGTAAAACATTCCTTTGGTCAAGCCTCTATGAGGACCATCCGACCATGATATCAAAACTGACAGAAAAAAACTCAGAGAGGAAAATATTATACCCAGATACCGAATTTAGCCAGCTAAAGTATTCAAATAAGATAACAGCCAAGCAGTAGAAAAGCCAGGAATTTACTAAAGGTTATCAAAATATAAAGAAGTAAACACGAATAAGTAAAGGGGATTCAACATATAGTATAAATACATAAAAATAAAATTTTAACTTAGCTACACAATGTAATTTTCCGATAACTGATACCCCTTAGCCTAAGGTGGCTCCCCCACTGTAGTCAAGGTAAACGACAAGCCATAGGAACTCCATACTGCTTAATTACCTAGTCAACGCATAACGAACTTTGATCTGCTCCATTTCTTTGCCCCTTGAAAGTTTCTAATAAACATGTCACTTCAAGTTTTAAAGAATACACCTATAATCAACTAACTTCATATAATCTTCACAAAATCATATCATCTCTTTACACCTCAAAATTACCATACATGATCGCTAATCCAAAAAAACACAAAGAAAGATTCAATTTTTCTGTTCCTATATGCTAAAGCAAAAATTCAAAACACCCTTTATCTATACACAAATAACCGTCAGCTTTGTGCGGATCAGAGAAAAGCGAATACAAGAAGTTTTATTATATTCATGATTAATCTATGAACAATTAAGATTAGACCTTCTAATAAATCGGATAAGAAGACAGTGGAAGAGAGTATGAAACACAGTTGAAGAAATAGTAAAGAGAAAATACCTGCTCGGAGATTTTTACACTATACAATTTTGAGGTAGGAGACAATTACCAAGGATTCAAGGCAAAAGATAACAACTCCTAGTTCCATAAGACCCTTAAGAGTTCAATGATTTTAAAATATAGGTGTGATAGAAATGACTAAATCCACGCATGAGTCACAATGTAGGAATTGGTTGGTTGGGGGGTTGGGGGGGGGTGGGGGGGGGGGTCTGCCACGTTATGGGGTGGTTGATTCTTATCCAACAATGTATTAATTAATTAATTAGGTAATACCCTGCTACCCGTTAATTAACCAATTACCCGCATAATTAAGAATTGTCTCAAATTACTTAAAATTCTACTTATTTTTTTTAATACACTTTATACATCATACTATCATGGTCATGTGGTACCACATAAAATAAATACATATACTATTATTTTAAAAAATATCCATGTAAAAATACATATATTTTCTCAATATTCTAATTTTTCTAGTCTCATATAAAGAGTACAAATTTTTCGTATGCTTATTTTTTTTTAAAAACGGTAAAAAGATAACCTTCTTTTCTTGTGAGAAAATAATTTATATCTTTACAATAAAGAAATTCTTTTTGTACTATAAATTCTCAAAACGGAAAAATGATAACTTTTCTTCTGATAAAATACTATCTACTCCTATAATAAATAAAATCTCATTTATAAACTCCCACATGTCATGTATATAATTTAAAACTTATCACAACATATATCGTATCAATCAACTTTTACCGAAAATGGTTTACTTTAAAGAAAATACATATCAAGCCAATATATAGTAGTTCCGAAATTCTTCAAACTTAGAGGGTCTTACATCCATATCTTCATGTATAACCTTAATCCCTTCCAACTCATATGTTATTACTTCGACGAATCCTAACGTTAAAGTACGAGATGTAACAATGTATGACTCACACAAGGTAAGCACACCACTACACAAATATCATCAATAACAATGCCACCAGGACATCACACATCATTATAAATCATCCCTGACATAGCCCCCTTGTCTCGCCGCGTGCGCAACAATAAAATAAATACTCCCTTGTCTCGTCACACGCGTATAATAATATTCCCACCTTGTCTCGCTACATGCGCAAACACACATATATATAGCCCGCTTTGACACACCACATGTGGAAATATCAATAATAAAAATAGCACATACAACTCACGTGTGAACACCCCGACAATCCTCTCAACTATACCACGCGCGCCAAAAATATAAAACAATATAACAACTCGCACTACATGTGCCCATATGTCGCCACATTCCTTAAAAATAATTTCAATACCACAACCACATATAGCCCTCGTCTCAACAACACTGAGTTCAACAACAACAACAATAACCCGGAGTACGACAAGTAAATCAACAAAAGAATTACAAAAGCACAATAAAATGGAAGAACGAGCTCACAATGAAATACATAACAAGTAATATTGGATTCAAATAAGAATAACTCAACAATAGGAGAGATAATGTGTATCAGTGATATCAAATAAGAATAACTCAACAATAGGAGAGATAACATGTAACAATAATTTCAAATAAGAATAACTCAACAATAAGAGAGCTAATGTGTAACAACGATATCAAATAAGAATAACTCAACAATAGTATAGATAACATGTAACAATGTTATATAAAACAATATAACAACTCGCACTACATGTGCCCATATGTCGCCACATTCCTTAAAAATAATTTCAATACCACAACCACACGTAGCCCTCGGCTCAACAACACTGAGTTCAACAACAACAATAATAACCCGGGAATATGATAAGTAAATCAACAAAAGAATTACAAAAGCACAATAAAATGGAAGGACGAGCTCACAATGAAATACATAACAAGTAATATTGGCTTCAAATAAGAATAACTCAACAATAGGAGAGATAATGTGTATCAGTGATATCAAATAAGAATAACTCAACAATAGGAGAGATAACATGTAACAATAATTTCACATAAGAATAACTCAACAATAAGAGAGCTAATGTGTAACAACGATATCAAATAAGAATAACTTAACAATAGTATAGATAACATGTAATAATGATTTCAAATAAAAACAACTCAACAATAAGAGAGGCAACATGTAACAACGATTTCAAGTAGGGATAAATCTCAATTGAAGAGATAACATGTAATAAAAGAGGCAACAACTCCAATTAAAGCACATAAGAGTATACTTGGCAACAAAGGATAGAACTTGAACCAATCAACTTCAAATAAGGCAAGTAAGGGTAAATTCAACAATGGAGGATATAACATGATAATGCAACTTCATTTTAATGTGCATAAGAAAGCTAAGAGTCTAAAATGGTCAAATTTCCACATATAATCCGTGTACACACTCGTCACCTTGTGTACACGTATTTCACGTAGTTCAAATAGTGCAAATCCGGTGAAACCAAGTAACAGCCCAATAAGACAATCGCTTTCACACAAGGTTTATACAAGAATTTCACCAAGGAACCACACCTCATAATCACAAATTATGGGTCCCAAATCACGAACCCTAATCACTTGGAATCTTGTGCCCACATTACAAATCACTACCTCACGGACAACTCACCTGCTACACGGATAACTCACGTGTTACTACCATTAATACCTCATACCTGCACGGGAAACTCACATACTAAGAGAGTAACAACATCCCATATCCCCACAGACAACTAACGTGCTAGCAGTAACAACATCTCATATCCACCCGGACAACTCACGTGCTAATAGTAACAATGTCTCATATCCGCACAGGAAACTCATGTGCTAACAATACAACTCACACACAGAAGGCAGGTATACAAGAATACATGTAAATGATCAATAAACATCAAGGTTCACCTTCTTGGACTAATATGAGTGACTAATTACAGTGTATGCTTGTGCAAGTATTCTATCATAACTTGAGTCAACAAGTAAGAACATAGACTGTAACGACCCGACCGATCGTTTCATGAGTTATAGCCCCGCTTCACCCACTTCTACTTCTTTATGTATTCTTCAGCTGTATTTCATCGTATAGTGTTGGTTGGTTCGGGTTACGAGTGGTTTTGGAGTGAATTGAGACACTTAGTCTCTTTTGAGTAGGCTTAAGTTGGAAAAGTCAACCGGATGTTGACTTATGTGTAAATGATATCGGATGGGAATTCTGATGGTTCGGTTTTCTTTCTTAGGTGATTTTGGACTTGGGAGTGCGTCCGAAATGTGATTTGGAGGTCCGTGGTAGATTAGGCTTGAATTGGCAAAATTGGAAATTTGGCGTTTCCCGGTCGGCAGTGGAAATTTTGATATCGGGATCAGAATGAAATTCTTGAAATTGGAGTAGGTCTGTAGTGTCATCTGTGATGTGTGTGCAAAATTTCTGGTCATTCAGAGGTGGTTTCATAGGTTTCGGCATCGTTTGCGGATTTCGGAAGCTTAGAAGTTCTTAGGCTTGAATCCGAGAGTGATTTGGCGTTTTGATGTTGTTTGGAGTGTTTCAAAGGTTTGAATAAATTTGAATGGTGGTATGTGACTTGTTGGTATTTCTAGTTGAGGTCCCGAGGGCCTCGGGATGAATTCGGATTGCTAAAGGAAAATTTTGAAATTTATGCAGCTGAAGCTGCCGCTTCTGTTATTTCCGCACCTGCGGATTGGGGACCGCAGGTGCGAGGCTGCAGATGCGAAAGGGAGATCGCAGATGCGGAATTTGGCCAACTGGAGCTTGAACGCAGGTGCGGAGGTGATGTCGCACCTGCGAGCCCGCAGGTGCGAGGGGAGAGCCACAGATGCGGAATAGGCGGATAAGTGGAATCAGCAGGTGCGCTCTTTGGATCGCAGATGCGGTAGCGCAGGTGCGCGAATGTGGAAAGCAGGTGCGAGACTTCAGGGCAGAAAGTATAAAAGCCATACTTCACGAATTTTTGCCCATTCTTCACCATTGTTGGCCGGGTTTTGAGCTTTGGGCAGTGATTTTCAAGAGGGAATCGGGAGATATCAGTGAGGTAAGTTACGTGGGCTCTATTACTTGTGTTTATGATAATTTTTCCACTGTGTAATCATGAAATTAGAGGGAATTTAGGGTGAAGTCGAAGGGGTTAGGGCTTGAGTTTTGGAGAGTTTGATTTGCGGTTTGAGGGACCATTTGAGGTCGAATTTTGATGAATTTGCTATACATACACTGGGAGTAAAAGGAGTTTCTAGTATTGTGATTGTTGTCCGATTGTGGGCCCTGGGGCCGGGTTTGGGTGCATTTTGGGATTTTGGTATAATTTGATAACTTTTCGTATGGAAATTGTTCATTGGCCTATATTGATCGCACTGTAATGCTTTTGGGCAGACTTGGGATGTTTGGAGGCCGATTCCAGAGGCAAGGGCGTCACGGAGTAGGGATTTGACCGGTTCGAGGTAAGTATGATTGTAAATCTTTTCCTGAGGGTATGAAGCCCCGGATTTCACATCGTTTCACTATTTTGAGGTGATGCACATGCTAGATGACGGGCGTGTGGGCGTGCACCATTGGGGATTGTGACTTGGTCCGTCCTTTAGCAGCTATTAAGTTGCGTATTTGACTGAAAATTTATATGGTACTTAAGTGTTTTAGAAAGGATTTCTATAATTTGGGCTAAATGCCATATTTGGGCCTCGTGCCAAAGCTGTTTGGACCCTTAGGGGCCTGTTCTTATTAAATCCTTACTGTTTTGATTTAAGATATGTACTCAGTCATGCTATGTGTATACGGTAAAATCGAAGGGTCCAACTTTTGGTCATTACGACGCCTCATAAGCACGTTCCCGAAGGTTCGAAGCTATGTTCGAGATTTGCATCCGAGGGGTTATCGACGTCAAACCTCGGGGCAGTGTCGATCGATGGTCATGGTAAAAAAGTGGGAAGTTCCCAAAGCATATGATCAAAGCTAACAAAACCTGCTAGGGAAACACCAGTCTGTACCAGACTAGTGAGTTGCTGTTCCAGCTATGTTTCTTTGTAATAATTACCCATGTACTAGGATGGGATTTCCTTCCTTATATAAAGGGGATCCTTGTCATTTTGTAAGAGATCTCCAACACAAGATACTTCATTCAATACAAGAACATTCTTTTTGCAC